TTTAGCAGAGACAGGATCTGGCTCTTGCTCTGCTGAATTTGAACTACTGAGTTGAAAGGATCCTCCTCCCTGGGTCTCCCAGGGTGCTGGGATTGTATACATGAGCCACCATGCCTAGCCTAAAGTGTCTTTTCTTAATCATGAATTGAACATGCCCCAATTGAGAGGCCAGGAGCACTGGTGAGAGGTGAAACAGACACCGTCTGTGTGAGTCCCGTGGCGTGTTGAGGGCATCTCCACTGTGTGTTCATGGAAGATCCCCTTCTGCCCCACCAGGAACAGAGAGAACCTTACAGTTAGTTGGTTTGGGTGTGTGTTGTGTGTTGGGTAGAAGCCAGGAAAGTCCTGGCCATATGGAGTCCTAAAAATTCTGCTAATATGTGCTAGAGCTGTGAGTGCCTGGGACACATGCCGCCCAGCTGCAGGTGGGCTCAGAGGAACTACGGTCTCTGGCAACTTGGAGGGTGCTTGGGAGCTGTCTAGGAGGGTGCAAGGTCAGGAGTGACTCGGGACTCAGAAAGCAGAGGTGCCTGCCAGCCCCTCAGGGCAATATCTGATAGCCAGGTTGATAGGTTGCCATGAGGACAGCTGCTATGGTCATTAGATGTCATCTCCATCAGATGACAAGAGGACACGTAAGCTCTGTTGTCAGGGCCTGGCAGGGCAGCCGGACCATCGTGAATCTGGGTGTTGCCCAGTGCAGACACTATGTGCGGTATGGCCAGCAACAGCGGTGATAGGAGAGAAGGGGCAGCGCTCACAGAGCCCATTTACCTCTTACCCGGATAAAATGCGTCATCCCCCTCTGTGCTGCAGGAGGCTGCGGAGGAGGTGACAAGGCACATCCATTCCCTGCCTGGAAAGAAGGATGGGCTGGTGCCCATGTTCATCAACACCCACAGCGGCCTCTTCACCCACCTGGGGGTGTTCACCGTGGGCGCCAGGGCTGACAGCTACTACGAGTACCTGCTGAAGCAGTGGATCCAGGGTGGGAAGAAGGAGACACAGTGAGGCCAGTTTCGTAGCTTTGGTGTGACCTTCCCAAAGCCCCGCTTGTCCCAGTTCTTTGTCAGGAAACTGCACCCACGCCAGGCATGGTCTGTGTTCTTCCAGCTGAATTGACTTCTAATTGTGGCCTGTGTGGGGGCAAGGGAGCCATTCATGGTGCAGGGCTCCTTGGTGCCAGCTGAAGGCCCTTGTTGCCTTCACTGGTAAAGTGGACGGTCCCAGCCTGTTCTGGGCCCTTGCAGAGGCCAAGCACCTGCCCTGCAGGTGAGTGGCTGCTGTTTTCTGCAGGTTATTGGAAGATTACCTTGAGGCCATTGAGGGGATGAAGACACACCTGCTGCGGCATTCGGAGCCTAGCAAGCTCACGTTTGTGGGGGAACTTGCCCATGGCCACTTTAGCGCCAAGATGGTGAGTGTGTGCAGGCTACATTGTGCCTTCAGGAGCCCACCCCTTTTCTGTAGGCTCCTGAGTCTCCTGAGTCTGGGTGTTGGAAAGAACAGTGACATTCCTGGGTGTGGTGGCTCACACCTGTAATCTCAGAACTCTGGAAGGCCAAGGCAGGTAAATTGCCTCAGCTCAGGAGTTGGAGACCAGCTTAACTCTACTAAAAATGGGATGCCCACTAGCTGGGCAATGTGGCCTCCCTATAGTCCCAGCTACTAGGGAAGCTGAGGCAAGAGGATTATTCTAGCCCAGGAGTTTGAGGTTGCTGTGAGCTATGATGCCACAGCCGTCTACCTGGGGCAACAAAAACAAAAAAGAACTGTGAAGGCTTGGCCAAGGTATGTGGTCGAGATGTCTGGTGACCGCTACTGCCTCCCTGGCCCCACCACGGCCCTCCCCGCAGTGTCTGCCACCCAGCAGGTGCTCATGGGGGTCTGGGGAAACCCAGCAGCCCTTCTTCCCCAAGAGCAGGAGGCCCTTGCTGAGCTGCTTCTTGTGCTACTGCTGTCAAGGCTGTGATGAGTGTCTGTTCTGGGGACCCTGGAGACTGAGATAGCTCTGGGCCTAGCATTGGCTACCTTTGTGGCTGCAAGCCCAGGGCATGGGCCTGTGATTGGGCTGAATGGACACTCTGATTCCAGGACCACCTAGTGTGCTTCTTGCCAGGGACGCTGGCTCTTGGCGTCCACCATGGCCTACCAGCCGACCACATGCAGTTGGCCCAGAAGCTCATGGAGACTTGTTACCAGATGAACCGGCAGATGGAGACAGGGCTGAGTCCTGAGATCGTGCACTTCAACCTTTACCCCCAGCCAGGCCTCCAGGACATTGAGGTCAAGGTGGGCCTGGGCCCAGGCCAAGGTCAGGTGGAGGGAAGGGTCTGTGCCATTAGACCAGCCTTGCGCTGAGCACAGCTGTGTCCCCAGCCGGCTGACAGGCACAACCTGCTGCGGCCAGAGACGGTGGAGAGCCTGTTCTACTTGTACCGCATCACAGGCAACCCCAAGTACCAGGACTGGGGCTGGGAGATCCTGCAGAGCTTCAACAGCTTCACGCGGGTGAGCACCAGGCGTGTGTCCCAGTGCACGTGGCAACCTGGTGGTGGCGTGGCCAGGCTGTGCGAGACTCTGGCTGGCTGTGGTGAGGGTGGGGGAGGGGAGGCTTGCTGCAGACTCAAGGTAGCCTGTGGACCCAGAGTCTCAGGGCAGCCAGGCTCCTGAGGAGGGTCCTTGCTATAGCCTGACGTGCACCAAGGGCTATGGCGCTACCCTGCCATGGTCAGGCAGGGCTGCCTGGCATTCTGCACATGAGACCCATTTTTAGGAAAGGTCATGCCCTTCTAGGGCCACTGGCAGGCCCACTGCCCACCATAGTAGAGACAGACTCTGTGATGCTGTCTTTGTGGCTGAGCCTCCGCTGCCTTAGCCCCTAACCATCTGCACCTGTCTCTTCCCTACACCGTGAGGGAGGAGGCACGGAGACTCCTCAGCCAGGGTTCTGGGGACAGCAGTTTCCATCCCAGCCATGCAAGGGTTGTTGGCAGTTCCAGGGGTCTCTAGCAGAACCACAGCTAACCCTGTGTGCCCTCTACCCCAAGCCTGCCTTGGGGCCACGTGTTGGTTAGGGGTTCCAGCGTGGTGTGGGAGCGTGCACCCCAGCCCTGGTGACACAGCCTTGGCCTTGGCAGGTGCGCTCAGGCGGCTATTCCTCCATCAACAACGTCCGGAATCCCCAGAAGCCTGAGCCCAGGGACAAGATGGAGAGCTTCTTCCTGGGGGAGACACTCAAGTACCTGTACCTGCTGTTTTCTGACACTTCCGACCTCCTCAGCCTGGATGCCTATGTGTTCAACACTGAGGCCCATCCCCTGCCCATCTGGACCGCCACCTAGGGAGGGCAGGTCCTGCCTCGATGTATGGGACCTGCTGGCGGGTCTGAGGTGTTTTCAAGGGGCCCTCGTGGGGTTGGCAGCCTCTGAGCCTCACGCACTCCTGCCCTGGCTCTGTTTCTAGTCTGGAAACAGAAGAGTAAGACCCAGATATGTGACTCAGGGTAGGCCAGCCCACTGGAGTCTCCTGCCTTCTCTGAGAAAACTCGAATCATGACTCAAAATTCCTGAAACCTGAATGTCCCCCTACCAGCCTACTTCACAGTATTCCTGGGGCCTCTGGTTCCCCTCCAGGGGCTGAGTTGTGTTCAGAAAGAGGACCAATTAGATAGCCCAGATCCGCTCTGCTTGGGCTCACAGAGTCTATGTCCCAGCCTCGGGTCTCGGGGGCCCCAGTCCAGGCCTGGCCCTCGTGTTTACATGTTGGACTCAGGGATCCTCCCGGCTGCCCTGCAGGGGGCTCGGAGGGGCGAGGGAGGCAAGTTCATCCTGCTGCCGTCCCACTTGGACAGAATGGCTCTTTCGGTGAAGATAAAAGTTGATTTGCTCTACCTGGTGTCTCCCGTGTATGTCAGCTTGCAGGAGCCCTGGGAGAAGTTCTTTGGGTTACATCTCAAAATTCAGCTTCCTAACATCTGTACTGACTGCAGTGTCCCCTGCTGCTGGGCAGAAAGAGGCTCTGGGGGATGAGCCAGCATTGCCAGCCATAGTGGCATGGCAGGGGCCCTCATGGTGAGGCACTAGCTGGGCAGGGTCAGTTCCCACTTGCCTTGGTGGGGGTGCCTGAGCCCTTGGACGTGGACAGCAGAGCTGTCTTCTGCATCTTTTGCCCTTTGATGTCACCAGCAGTGTCCCTGTCATGGGGGCTGGGCCTGGTCTGGGGTTATCCCTCGACCCCAAACCAAGGTGACCTCTTAGGACAGCCCAGTTTTGCCCTCCAGTGTTAAGCATGGGGAGCCCATTGCCTTTATCACTTATGGAAGATTTTCCTTTCCTGGGAAGCCAGAGCTGGTGGCCACTGGGGCAGGGCTGTGGCTGCTGCCCCTGCAACTTCCACCCAGCTCCTGAGTGGGTGGGGCCTTGGTTCTTTTTCCTGCCTGGGTCATACCTCAAAACACCCCATGGCAGCTACCTGGTTCCCCCTGGGGACTTCCTCTCCTGAGGTACACACCCCAAGCCAGCTTCCAGCCCATACATGTGTGCCTGGAAGATATCAGGAGACCTGGAACCGTCTCCTCCAAGGACACCCCCATACTGAGGCATGGAGCTGCCCTCCTGGGGCTGTGGTGGGTACTGAGCAGCTGCAAAGACTTCTCCAACTCATTCCTGGGTCCCCCACAAATGTGCAGCCTTTGAGGACCGAGAGTGCCATCTGGGGCCTCCCCTGGAGGGGATGCTGTGGGCAGAGGCTGTAACTTTGGAACAGATGTCTGAGAACCAAGCCATGGCAGGACTGCGTGGCCACAGCCTCTCAACCGTGTCACCTTCCCAAGAGGGGATGCTGGCCAAGACAGATACGGTTTCTCCCCATTGCCTCAGATAACAAACACAAGTGCTGAGGAGTCCACACCATGTTGAAAGTGAACCTTGTTCTGGGGTCCTGTACCACGTCCTCTAGCTTCTGCCTATGGACCCCAGACAGGACTGGACACAGGACACTTCAGACCAGGCAGCCAGACATTTATTCAGCCCCTTCACTTTCCACCAGCCCCTCCTAGTAAAGCCCCCACACTGGGCAGCCACTGTGGGCCAGGCCTCAAGATCCAGGTGCATCAGCCAGACACAGCACAGGCGGCTGGTGTCTCACTCCACCAGGAACCTTGAGACGCCCCTTGGCATCCTCTGGTCTTAGCCTCTGGGTCCCCAACGCAGGGCCAGCCACTGCTTGTGCCTGGCAGCCTTCACCCACTTGCCAATGAGAGCAGCCTCCAGCCTTCGGGCCTCCACAACGGAGTGGGGATCTTCCGGGTGGGATGCTCTGAGGGGTGAGTGGGGCATCAGTGGGTATGCAGCCCACCCTCCCAGCATAGGAGAAGGCCCAGGGCGCCTCCCACTGCACCTGAGGTCCAGGTGATGTGCTCCCCCAGGGATGGTGATGGCGACAACTGAGGCGCTCAGGTTCTGCTGAATCTGTGGTCAGCAGGGGGGACTCCTGTCAGCCATGTGCTCATGGGGCCTGCATGGCCTTGAGGCCCCCACTGTAAAGGAGGTGTGATGGGGGCAAGCTGGTGTCAGCCCACACCAAACAATCAAGAAAAGAACCAGAAAGGAAGAACAGGGAGTAGCAGGGCTGGAGGGAGAATGGGTACATCCACAGAGCCAATTTGGGTCCTCTGAGAAGATTCTGGAAACTGATCAGGAAAACCTGCACAGGGTCACTTATAAAAACTGAGGAGCCACAGCTGCAGCCACATGACCCATATTGGGTCAGCAGCCACCTAGACTGGGACTCACCCCGCCACCTGCCCAGGGGTCCAGGTCACCGTTGGAGAAGATGATGTTGCTGGTAGCTTTGAGGTCTGCAAGGGACACGGCAAGGCCTGGTGAGCCAGGGCTGGGGCCACAAGGGCAACCACTACCCCACCCAACCCTGGCCTCACCGCCCCCCCAGAAGTTGGTGTGTAGCCAGTCTGGTCGTGGCCACACGCCCCATGCTTCTTGGCAGTACTGCTGGCGCTGAGCCTCAGTGAATGGGAGGACAGGGAACATGTCAGTCACATTGTTGCTGGCAAAGGTCAGGCTGATCTCAGTGCAGGCCTGTGGACACCCACCCTATTGTCAGGTGGCCATACATGCCCACACCCCAGCCACAGGCCCCAGGCTGCCCACCATCCACACCTGGTAGTCCCAGGCCTTGGCATCAGGGCCAGAGCCACAGCCCGTGGGGTCAGCACAGCTGTGGTACAGTTGATAGATGTCATAGCAGGGCTCTGTGCCTGAGGCATTGTAGACCAGTCCTGGGGAGGAGTGGGGCTGGGGCCGGAGGCAGGACACCAGCACCACACACTCAGGCCACCCAACCTGTCCCTGAGGAAGGGTCTTGCAGGTTGGCAGGGCCCTCTGTTCCCGGGGACCCCAGAGGCCTGGCTGAGCAGCATGCTCCTGGCAGGCCTGGCCCTAGGCGAGCCTGGGAGGAGTCCTCAGGATGGCCACTGCCTCCCCCAGGGCTGCTGGTGGCCACTCTTGCACCCCACACGGCCCTCACCTCACCAGCCCCTACACTAGCCTTGGGGTCTCCACACTTGCCCATCTGGGGTCTGGGGAGGCAAACCTGCCAGGGCCCGCAGCCCTGTGATTCTCTGGGCCTCACTCAGCAGCAGATTGCAGCCCACCTGCATGGAGAGCACAGTGCCTCAGCGGGGCCCTCGCCAGCTACCCCCGCAACGTGAGGTCACCGCTGGGCCCATCCCTGCCCCTGGGACACTGCTTTGCCCCAATTTCAGCCTCTCTCCACACCAAAAGGAGGCCTTCACCTTGACAGGGTTGGCAGGAAGGTGCCCCATGAAGTCGGTAGCGTATGGGTAGTTCATCATGGCCAGCACAGTGAAGGCATTCCGGGTAAACACGAAGAGCTGGGTCTGGTCCTTGGGGCCTGAGAGCGGCTGGCAGGTGCTGAATTCCCGGCTGACTGTGTCATAGTCTGTCGGCACAGTGGAGAAGAGGAGGCTCTAGGGGATATAGACATGTGGGATGGCTGGCTTGCTGAAGGCAGGGCCTCACCTCCCTGCAGGAACAGGTCTCTGATCTGCTGGAAGGCGTCCCGCACACCCTGGGCACATTTGGGACTCTGGCTCTCAAAGGCCTGGAGAAGAGACCATGCTTGTGCAGCTGCTGCGCCCCGTGGGCCTGGGGGACTCTGGGCCCTGAACTCACCGCGGTGACATCCCGGAAGAATTGGTCAGGGTCTCCAAGACCTGCTGCAGCTATGACAGGTGCACTGGCTGCCAGCGCCCCCACCACCAGGTGGGGGTACTTCATCCTCAGGTAGGCGCTGAGCATCCCCCCATAACTGGGTACAGGGCACAGGCTTAGGGCTGGGGCCCTGCCCAGAGCTGCTCTGCTACCCCACTTCCTCTCCCTCCTCAGTGGCCCACAGGTGCCATGAGAAGGATCCAAAACTTCTGAGAGCCCCAAATTCTGACCTTGGGCCCTGTGTAGCCTTCACTGGGAAGGGACACCTGGTGGGCACCTGCCCTAAGGACATGGTCAACACCAAGGCAGGTGGGGTCTCCCCATTAGTGTTCCCAGCACTTCCCAGCCAGTGTGGTCGGCAATGCTGAGGGGGGTGGGTTTCCCATGGGAGGAGGCATTAGGTGGGGAGATGGGAGTCAAAGGGTGCAGGTGCCAGAGGGGTGAAGGGTGGGGGTCCAGGAGCCAGGTGGTGCCTGCCCCCAGCCTCTGCATGTGGGGGGCGGGTACAGCCTAAAGCCCCTTGGCCTGAAAGACAGCACAGGCCCTGCTGCGAGGGACCCACCTCCCACCAAAGGCGATGGTGGGGGCATCCTGAGCCCCCAGGTCCCTCTGTAGTGCCTGAAGAAGCACAGCAAAGTCGGCCAGGGCCTGCTCCACCGTCAGCAGCTCCATGTAGCCACGCTGTGTTGACCGCTTGCCGAAGGGGAGTGACTTCCCATAGTACCGCTGTGGGCGGACACAAGGACCACTGACCCACTGCCCCTACCACCCGCCTGCCCAGGGTGACCATCCGGGAACTGCTACCCACATGTTCTGCAAAGACCAGCAGAGCTGCCTCTTGGGCCGCCAGCTCCACGATGAAGCCCGAGTGGTTGGCAAAGGACCACACATCCCCCTCGTTCCCGGTGTAGAAGAAGATGGGTCCCTCGGCCCTGTCCCAGAACTTGTCTGTGGGGTTGGGGTGGACAGGGGCTGGTGAGGCCGGGCCACTGACCTGGGGCCCTGGCCAGCGGGAGGGGCCTCACCTGACACCAGGAACCGCTGGGGGAAGGTCTTGTTGCCGAACCTTTCAAAGTTGAAATGGTCCAGAAGCTGCTCAAAGTACCTCTCCCCAAAGTCAGGGTTTATGTCACTGGGTACTGGGAGGGGAAGGAGAGGATGAGGGTGTGCCTTGGAGTGGTCAGGGCGGAGGGGCCACATGCCCACACTCACCTCTGGCTTGGAGGCTGTGCAGCCCGAGTGTCAGCAACAGGACTGGGGCCCAGGAAGGGCCCAGATGGGCCATGGGTGCCCGGCGGCACTGGGGGATCATGTCTGGGTTTGCCGGTAGCAAGATGGTCACATGAGTGAGCTCACGTGACCGGGGCTGCCTCACGTGGCAGCATGGGAGGGGCTTTCCCCTCCTTAGGGCCATATCTGGAGCCCTGAGCAGGGCAGGTGAAGGTTCCTGGCACCCACTATGTCCCATGGAGACGGTCGTCATGGAGACACATAAACAAGTGGAGGGCTGAGCCTGGCGTGGAGCGGGGGGCTTGTCCCCCACAAAGTGACATCTTGGAAGAGTGTCCCTGAGAGGGTGAGGTTCCCTGGGGCTACAGGTCTTGGGTGGTCTCCAGCCTCACCACCAGCTTATTCAACAGCCCGCCCTGCTGCCTAGCCCCTCCATGCACCCCCCCCTGCTGCACTGCCAGCCCCATGAGGACAAGGCCAAAGGCTCCAGGGCAGGGCTAGGAATCCCATGTGGAGTGACACCGCCTGGAGAAAGGACACAGGCTAGTCCAGAAACAGCAAGGGGCTGTGCAGGTGGATGAGCTGGCAAGAGTGGGTGCCTGAGGGCTTCCCTAAGCAGTGGAAACACCAGGTAGAGCAAATCGACCCCTTGGGCAGGATGAGCGTAGGCCTGTCAGCTCCTGAGAGCTGTGGACTCTTTACCCGCTGTGCTGACTGGGCCTGCTGTACCCACATGGCCCTGCCAAGACAGAAGGACAGGGGAGTCGCAGGCCTCTCCTCCCCAGGAGCACCAGAGAATAAAAGGTACCTGGGTGAGGGGCCATTCTAGTGGAGGGGAGTGGCCAGCTTGGCCTCATGTTGGGCTACATCCATCTAGTCCCCACAGTCCTGCTAGGGTCATGGGCTGGTGTCAAGCTCAGGACAGGTGTGGGGTAGCCCAGCCTCAGGCTGCAGAAGAAAAGTCACCCCATCCCCACTCCCAGGACTATCCCTAGCTAGTGTGACCCCCAACCCCTGCCCTATCCATCCTGTGTGAGGTGAGAGTAGAGGACTGGTCATAACAACAGCAGTCACCTTGTTACCCAGGGCCCCCACCAGAGGCTAGACTTGAGGACCCTTGTAGACGGCAGGCAAGGACAAGCCAGCAAGACCCTTTCCTGATGGTGGGTGTTCAGGCCTCCAGGCACCGTAGTAAGTGCCTGCAGGGGAGCTGCTTCCTCTCTTGCCGGTGACCAGGCCTCAGCCCTTCTAGGAAGCAGGATTTCCTAGGCCTGGGAGGGTGGTCTGCATGGGGCCAGGATCTGCCTAGGGACTGAGGGTGACTGTGGCCACTCAGCCTACATCCCTCTCCTGGTGCTAGAGCTTCTCACTCCACTGCTCACCACAGCCAGGCCAGGCACCTTTGGGAAGGTGCCCTCAGGTGGCAGTGGTGGGGCTGACAGTTAAGGCAGACCCCTCCACAGCCATCAGACTGTCTGAGGCTGAGGACTGTGGCTTCTGCAGGAGGCCCATGCAGGTCCAGGTCTCCTGCCTCTGCCCACCATCCCCTATGTCTTGTCAGGTGGTGCTAGGCCAGCACCACCTGCAGCTCACACAGGGCTCTTCATGGGCACCTCTCTACCCACCCCAGGCAGGAACTGAGTGCAGGGCAGAGGGCACACTGCGACAGACCTGTCATTCCAGAGGGCTTGTGGCAATCCTGGAGGTGTGGACTCTGTAAATGGGGGGAACCAGAGCCCAACTCTACCCTCCACGGCTGGCAGATTTGGAGGCCACTCCCACCCATCACAACTATTTTCTCTGCCCTGGCAGACCTAAAAGCTCCTGGCAATGGGGATGGCAGTGTGAGTTGCAGCCCTGGCAGATGCTCATCCCATGCTTTACTTCCCTGGCTGCACCTGTAGGCAGGCCTTCCTGGTCAGTGCAGTGTGCCACTCATGACATAAAATTTACCATGGGACCACTTTATAGTATTGGATTCAGTGGCATTAAGTACATTTTCACAGGCTATTTGCGGTGATTCAAGCCTGTAATCCCACCACTCCAGGAGGGGGTGGCAGGAGGATCCCCTGAGACTAGGAATTCATGACCAGCCTGAGAAAGAGACCTTGATGCTCCAAAAAGAATAGAAATAGCTGGATGTTGTAGTGAGCACCTGTAGTCCCACCCACTCAGGAGGCCGAGGCAAGAGAATCACTTGAGCCCAAGAGTTTGAGGTTGATGTGAGTTATGATGTCACAACACTGCACCGAGGGTGGCACAATGAAACTCTGTCTCCAAAAGATAAAAAATAAAAGAATAGAAAAAAATTAGCCAGGTGCCATAGTAGGCACCTGTAGTCCCAACTACTTGGAAGGCTGAGGCAGGAGGATCACTAGAGTTCAAAGTTCAAGGCTCCAGTGAGCTACGATGGCATTATTGCACTCTAGCCCTTGTGACAGAACACAGTGAGACCCTTATTGCCATTTTCCAAACTATCTCCCCCTCAAAGAGAAACTCTGTACCCATCAAACAATAACTCTCCTCATCCCCCTAGCCTAGCTCCAGGCCTCACCATTCCACTTTCCGTTTCTATGAATTTGCCTAATCCAGATGTCATATAAGTAGAATTATACAGTATTTGTCCTCCTGTGTCTGGCTCAAGTTTATGTGTAGCCACAGGTCAATTTATTCCATTTCATGGCTGCTACATTGAACCTACAGACCACTTCATCCATCAAGGGACATGTGGGTCATTCCCATGTTTTAGCTGCTGTGAATAATGCTTCTATGCACATTGGTCACCACGTCCATCTTAAGTCTCTGCTTTCAGTTCTTTTGTGTATATCCCAAAAAACAGACTTGCTGATCACATTGTAATTTGATGTTTAATTTTTTGAGGAGCCACCTTACTGGTTTCCACAAGAAGCTGCACCACCCATGAATGGTGCACAAGGGTTCCACTTTTCTCCATATCCCCCCCAACACTTGACATTTGCTTTTTCTTTCTTTTTTGAGACAAGAGTCTCAAGCTGGGTAGAGTGCTGTGGTGCCACAGCTCACAGCGACCTCAAACTCTTGGGCTTAAGCAATTCTCTTGCCTCAGCCTCCCAAATAGCTGGGACTACCGGCACCTGCCACAATGCCCAGCTATTTTGGTTGTAGTTGTTGTTTGGCAGGTCCGGACTGGATTCAAACCCACCAGCTCCGGTGTACGTGGCTGGCGCCTTAGCCACTTGAGCCACAGGCGCCAAGCCCATTTGTTTTTTCTTATAGGAGCTGTCCTAATGAGTGTGAGGTGGTATCTTACTGTGGGTTTAATTTGCATTTTCCTAACTCTTTAGTGATGTTGAGCATCTTTTCATGTGATTATTGGCCATTTGTATATCCTCTTTGGAGAAATACCTATTCAAGTCTTTTACCCATTTTTTTTTTTTTTTTGAGACACCCTGGGTAGAGTGCTGTGGCTTCACAGTTCACAGCAACCTTGAACTCTTGGGCTTAAGCAATTCTCTTGCCTCAGCCTCCCAAATAGGTGGGACTGCAGGTACCCACCACAACACCCGACTATTTGCTGTTGTTATTGCAGTTATCATTGTTTTAGCTGGCCTGGGCCTGTTTCAAACCTGCCAGTCTCAGTGTATGTGGCCAGCACCCTACCCACTGACCTACGGGCACCGTCCCTTTATCCATTTTTTGAATTGGGTTTTTGTTGTTTCATTTCTATTTTAAGTATTCTGCATTCAATCCCTTGTCATACAAGATTTGCAAATATTGGTTTGGCGCCTCTGGCTCAAGTGGCTGAGGTGCCAGCCACATACCTCTAAGGTGGCAGGTTTGAATCCAGCCCAGGCCGGCCAAAACAACAATGACGGCTGCAACCAAAAAATAGCCAGGTGTTGTGGTGAGCGCCTGTGGTCCCAGCTTACTTGGGAGGCTGAGGCAGGAGACTCGCTTGAGCCCAGGAGTTGGAGGTTGCTGTGAGCTGTGATGTCACAGCACTCTACCCAGGGAGACAGCTTGAGGCTCCGTCTCAAAAAAAAAAAAAAAAGATCTGCAAATATTTTCTCCTGTTCTGTAAGTTACCTTTTTACTCTGTCGATAGTGTCCTCTGACGCACAAAAATTGTAAGGATGAAGTCCAATTTGTCTATTTTTTCCTTTCTTAGTTGTGCTATTGGTGTCATATATCTAAGAATCCATTCCCAAATTCAAGGTTATGAAAATTTATCCTGGATGGGCACAGTAGCTCACACCTATTATCCTAGACTCAGGGAGGCCAAACAGGGAAGATCCCTGGAACTCCGGAGTTCAAGATCAGCCTGAGCAAGAGCAAGACCCTAAGTCTACCAAAAAAATAAATAGAATCCTAGCACTCCGGGAGGCCAAGGTGGGTGGATCACTTAAGCTCACGGGTTCGAGACAGCCTGAGCCAGAGTGAGACCTTGTCTCTAAAAATAGCCGGGCATTGTGGCAGGAGCCTGTGGTCCCAGCTACTTGGGAGTCTGAGACAAGAGAATTCCATGAGCCCAAGAGATTGAGGTTGCTGTGAGCTATGATGCCACAGTACTCTACCGAAGGTGACAAAGTAAGACTCTGTCTCATTGTTTAGCTGGCCTGGGCTGAGTTCAATCCTGCCAGCCTTGGTGTACGTGGCTGGCGCCAACCACTGAGCTGTGGGCCACGAGCCTACGTCAACTTTTTGTTACAGGTCCGTTGAAATTTTTATATCTTCTTGAACTAGCTTAGGTTGTTCATGTGTTTCTGGGACTTTGTCCATTTCATTTTGATTAAAGAGCTTACACTTGTTGATACTATTCTATTATCACCCTTTGTAGTTCTGTATGGGTGAACAGTGATGCCCCCCTTTCATTGCTGATGATAGTTATTTGTGTCTTTTCTTCTTTGCCAGTTTAGCTGAAGATTTGTCAATTTGCTAATCCTTTCAAAGAATCAGCTTTTGTTTTGCGATTGTTTTACTTTTCTCCACTCTAACTCTCTACTGTGTCCTTTCTTCTGCTTTAGATTTAGTTCGCTCTTCTGTTCCTAGTTCTAATTTGGGATCTTTTTTTTTGAGACAGTCTCACTTTGTCACCCTTGGTAGAGTACCATAGGGTC